AATCAATTGACTTAATTTATTTGTTTGTTATTATAGGACATCTTTATTGCTGGAACTGAAACTTCATCTGCGACTATTATTTGGGCATTATCAGAATTGATGATGAACCCAAACGTTATGGTGAAGGCTCAAAGTGAAGTGAGGCAAGTTTTTAAGGGAAAGAAAAACTATGGTGAAGAAGACATTGAAAAGTTGACACACCTAAAGTTAGTGATTAAGGAAACACTAAGGCTACATACTCCAGTTCCTCTTATAGGACCTAGGGAATGTAGGGAGAAAACAAATATAGATGGACACACCATTCCTCATAATACTAGAGTACTTGTCAATGCATGGGCACTTGCAAGAGATCCGAAAAATTGGGAAAATCCTGAAAGTTTTATACCAGAGAGATTCGAGAATTCTTCGGTTGACTTTATGGGAAATCACTTTGAGTTTATCCCGTTTGGTGCAGGAAGAAGGATGTGTCCAGGAATACAATTTGGTTTAGCTAATGTTGGACTTCCTTTGGCACAGTTACTCCACCACTTTGAATGGGAACTCCCATATGGAGGTAATCCAAAAGATTTGGATATGACTGAAACACATGGATTAACTGCGTCAAAAATGAAAGATTTGTATTTAAACGCCACAAATTATAGAAACGATGAAGAACTTTGATGTTATGCATGAAATAGTGAAATTAAAACACCATGATGCAGGAGTTTAGCAATTAATGATGATTCAACAACGTGTCATCCTTATCTTTAAATTGTTATCCATATATTTTGAATTGTCACAGCAGGGTTCTAACCTTCCCATATTTTTATTTCTGTATTTTCCTTTAGATTTTTTTACATTTTGTCCTTTTAGTTGTCTTAATTACTTTTCTGCCTTATTAGAGTTTTGTAATGATGCATATGTACTTTTATCTTCCATATTGATATTTATAACTTGAAATCGTAAACATGTGCCTGATCAATAGCCTAAAATATATCGGGCTTAAATTATTCCTGGCCCCTTAAAGTTGTTCGCATAATTCATTTAGACACTTCAATTAGGATTTGTACCTATATTAAACACATGTACCCTCTAGAATTTGAACCACTTAGACATTTCATGCAGATGTGGCACAAAAAGTGTAAAACACACTTGGTTGACCACGTGAAATTAATATATTACCGTTTTCCCTTTTCTTTTTCAATTTTTTCTTTTATTTTTTTTCATTATTTTTTTAAAAAAATAACAATCTCTTACTCTTTCTTTCTATTTCAAGACCATAGGATCCTGTCACCATTTCTTCATGATAATATACCATCATTTAAAAAAATATATTATTATTATTATTCCCGTTTTTTCGGTTTTATTCTTCACAATTCTTTGCCGGGAAATGGAGATCATCATCTACGTCCTTTTTACCGAAAAATGGAGATCACCATCCACATCTTCTTTGCCGGAAAAATGAAGACCATTATTCAAATATTCTCCCTCCCTCTTCATCTCCCCCAACCCACACCCCTTCGAAATCACAATAAATAAAAGAAGAACATTTCTTTCAAGAAAACACTATCAATTTAAATGGAAATGAGAAAGAAGACATAGAGAAAAATAAAAATGATAAATTCATACTTAATACATTGAGAGTTAACAATGGTGGGCAAGAGTAACTGTTAGGGAAAGAGAAGAAAGGGAGAGGTGGGCTGTGGTGGGGGTGAGGGTGTATAGTTTTTTGTTTTTTTTTTGGAAGTTGAAGTTGAAGTTCTTTTCTTTTTAGATTTAGATTTGTTTATATTTAAAATTTATTTTTACAGTTATTTTGAATTAAACTGTCATGTGTCTTTATTTGATTTGTTTAGCGTAATCTGTTCACTTTCTTTGTATATAAACAGTACTATTAATACATACAATTAGAACCAATTAAGCTAATCTGAAATACTTGTATCACAACAGTCTTTGTGGATAAAAGTTAATTAAACGGACTCTTGAAAACTAAATTGTTGCTTTGTATGAGATAAGGTACAGATTCCGATTTAAAAAATCAGGTGTTTTGATAGATTATAGATCGATCATACCTTTTGGTTAGCTTTAGTCTATTGGTTTTCTTTTCCTCCTTCACAACTTCATACGTTCCAAATTGCTCACATGAAAGAGAACTTTTATCATTTCATCAAGAAAGAGGAGTTTCAGCCGTAAGAAAGAGCTAAGAATAAAAAAAAAAACAACGTCCAAGCTCGTAAGAAAATGAATGCCAAATTAGAGTAGCCTTAGGCCTCAACAGGCTGTCGCATCTAGGCAAATATTATTTGGCAAGGACAGATAATGAAGTTTGCTTCATGTACTAGAAGGTCACTGACATGGGACTCCTCAATAACTTTTAATGATAAACCAAATTTAGCTATTTTTAGAAGAATGACATGTTTTTACTCGACTCTAGGTAAGCTAACTAGAATAATGATAATGAGAGCATGAATAATCATATCATTACCATCAATCTTAAATGTTGACAGGGGAGAATTTATGAGTTTCTTGTACAAAGGATTGTGACAGATGGTTTTGTGTCATACATGGATTTGACTGAGGATTGGTACTATAGGAGCTAATTTGATGCAGGTGAATATGGATTTGGTCTTTGTGCTGTAGAGTTCCAAGCATCAAAGGATTGCCTAGAAAATGCAAAGTGTATTGATGGAACTGCAGGAAATTTAAAAAACTGTCTAATGTAATTTGTATATTCGATTGTTATGTTGGAGAACGTTAGACTGAAGCAAAACATATAACAAATATACAATGTAATTGTAGTGACCTTGAGCCTGGGCCGTCCCCACAAAGAGAATTCTTCCTATAAGCAACCTTCCCATCTGATTTATCAACTAACAGTAAAAGAAGTTAGCAGAGATTTTTCACTTTGAAATTTATTTATTTATTTGAGTTAAAAAAACCAACCATCATCACAAAGACCACATTACATCAGAGCATCACTGAGGTGAAAATCACATGAGAACAACACTTTTCTTAAGTCAGTCATTGCATTCACCGTCTAAACTTGGTAAAAGAAGCAACAAGTAACTAAACTACAGTGTGACAATATACAATCATGTAGACTGATTGGTCTTGTTACCTTCACTCTTCCTATGAACTTCAAAGAAAATGATTGAAAGCAAGTAATTACCAACTATCATACACAACGCTGACTTCAACACCCATTATTGGATGGGAAAATGCCATGAGTGTGAATGCATCACTACATGATGCTAGAACTTTTGCTCCACGACAAATCAATATATAAAACATGCATAAAATGAAACAATGACACAACATGTTAAAGGTAAAAATGGCATCTTCAAAAACCATTCTAACATTTTTCTTCAAAAAGAAAAAATTGCAGAATTCAAAAGTACTGGCAAAGCAAAAGGGAAGGTTAAAAGCTACACAACAGAGTCAGATGTTCCATCTTCCTATAAGCAACCTTCCCATCTGATTTATCAACTAACAGTAAAAGAAGTTAGCAGAGATTTTTCACTTTGAAATTTATTTATTTATTTGAGTTAAAAAAACCAACCATCATCACAAAGACCACATTACATCAGAGCATCACTGAGGTGAAAATCACATGAGAACAACACTTTTCTTAAGTCAGTCATTGCATTCACCGTCTAAACTTGGTAAAAGAAGCAACAAGTAACTAAACTACAGTGTGACAATATACAATCATGTAGACTGATTGGTCTTGTTACCTTCACTCTTCCTATGAACTTCAAAGAAAATGCTTGAAAGTAAGTAATTACCAACTATCATACACAACGCTGACTTCAACACCCATTATTGGATGGGAAAATGCCATGAGTGTGAATGCATCACTACATGATGCTAGAACTTTTGCTCCACGACAAATCAATATATAAAACATGCATAAAATGAAACAATGACACAACATGTTAAAGGTAAAAATGGCATCTTCAAAAACCATTCTAACATTTTTCTTCAAAAAGAAAAAATTGCAGAATTCAAAAGTACTGGCAAAGCAAAAGGGAAGGTTAAAAGCTACACAACAGAGTCAGATGTTCCATCATTGACTTACAACTATTAACCACTAATTAGTCTAGACATGGCAATAAACTAGTGTCATATATAAAAATGGTTCTTTAACTTCGTAAAATCCAGTTATTCTCATATCCTTCGAATTACTGCTAATATTTATGAGTTAGAACCATTTTCACTATATGCTTTCTTCCAAATGATAACAACAATAGCTATGCCTTGATACCAAACAAGTTGGGTTCAGTTATGGGCCCAAACAAAGATGCACTCCTTGTAGGGGGGATACATCAGATGAAAGCACAAATTGTAGGGGGGATCTTGCTCCTTGAGAAACAGGGCAAACCTCCAAACATTGCAACTTAAAACAAAATGTGATAGCAACACATCTGCTGCAGTTTATGAGATCATCCAATCACCTAAGCATGAATGGGAAAGCCTGCAGAATAAGAGAATTCGTTTGCCTAGTTCACACTCCATGCATGGCTAATAAAAGCGTAAAAAAAAGTTACGGGATAATTTCATGATGAGAAAATAACGAACCATTGCTTGCTAACACCAAAACAAATACTTTGATCCATACTTAACCAGTCCCATGACCAGGCAGATATTCAAAATGGAGCTCTATAAAAGCTAATAGCAATAGCTATCATATAAATTCTTGGTCAAACATCCAATGGAAAAGCCACCATGCATAATATATCAGTCTTGAGTTTATGGGGATAATATGAAATGCATCACTACATGATGCTAGAACTTTTGCTCCACGACAAATCAATATATAAAACATGCATAAAATGAAACAATGACACAACGTGTTAAAGGTAAAAATGGCACCTTCAAAAACCATTCTAACCTTCTTCTTCAAAAAGAAAAAATTGCAGAATTCAAAAGTACTGGCAAAGCAAAAGGGAAGGTTAAAAGCTACACAACAGAGTCAGATGTTCCATCATTGACTTACAACTATTAACCACTAATTAGTCTAGACATGGCAATAAACTAGTGTCATATATAAAAATGGTTCTTTAACTTCGTAAAATCCAGTTATTCTCATATCCTTCGAATTACTGCTAATATTTATGAGTTAGAACCATTTTCACTATATGCTTTCTTCCAAATGATAACAACAATAGCTATGCCTTGATACCAAACAAGTTGGGTTCAGTTATGGGCCCAAACAAAGATGCACTCCTTGTAGGGGGGATACATCAGATGAAAGCACAAATTGTAGGGGGGATCTTGCTCCTTGAGAAACAGGGCAAACCTCCAAACATTGCAACTTAAAACAAAATGTGATAGCAACACATCTGCTGCAGTTTATGAGATCATCCAATCACCTAAGCATGAATGGGAAAGCCTGCAGAATAAGAGAATTCGTTTGCCTAGTTCACACTCCATGCATGGCTAATAAAAGCGTAAAAAAAAGTTACGGGATAATTTCATGATGAGAAAATAACGAACCATTGCTTGCTAACACCAAAACATATGCTGGGATTTTTCAGAAGCTCCTACATTAAAAATTTGTCAGCGCAGGTGGCATTCGATGGGAAGTTAGCTTAATTGTACTACTACCACTACCACAACAAAATCCAGTTGATTCATATTCAAACTTATTAGCCGAGCCAAGTTACGAACCTTTCTTAATGGAATATAATCAAACAGTAATAGTATAATATCAGCCATATTTTATCTGCACATGTCAAACAACCTTAACAGACGAAAAAATGGAAGAAACAAGGAAAGCGGATATTTCCGTGATCTCAAGACAAATTGATGTTTGGGTAACAAGTCTCCGTCCGAAGACTAAGACTAAACATGAGGTTTTTTCCACAAAATTTAAAATGATGGATTCTTTTGTATGAAATATAAACCCAAACTGAAGAATTTGGATGATTCCAAATTATAATCCCAAATCACACAAATACTATGAAGATGGTACTAACACAAATCCAATCACAGTCATCACAAAAATGACCCCTGAAGATACTATTTCACAAATATATTCTTTTCTAGAAAATCCACTTTAAATGTCCAGTGCAACAATCCAAGATTTGTATTTTCCAGCAAAGTGCAAGTTTTGCTCTCGTCATTCCGAAGATAAAACAAATTTTGCACTAGACCGAAACAACAATAATAACAACTACCAAAATGTGATTTTCACATAGTAAACCAACTATGGCGACAACACACCAAAGCACACAAAGGGGAATAACCAAATTCAAGCAAGATTCAATATCAAACAGACGAAGAGAATTCAAATAAAAGCACGAATCGAGGACAACGAAGAAGATAAAACATAAAAAGTGAAGAACAAATAAAATTATTACCTCAAAAGCAAAGCAATCACTTAAGAGAATATGCATACGATAAACCCAAAAGATGAAAAAAAAATATACCGACAAGGAGACGAAGCACAGAGGAGTAAAATCCATGGAAACTGCGAAAATTGTACATGACTCCTTATCTGTAAGCAGAAACCAGAACACAGTTTGAACCAAAGGAAAACAAGAATGACCAAATTGTCCTGTGATGAAACAGCCATGTCGACCATGAGACCTACAGAAAACGCCCATATTCAGTTAAAACACACCAATTATCATGCATCAGAAAACGAAGCTCAAATAACCAACAGGCAAGATTCAACAAAGAAAGAAACCTCCAGATGAAAGTATCACAGCCAAACACAGAGGAATCACTGAGAAGAAGACAAAGACGATATGGCGGTTCCTATATGAGAAGCACTGTATTAAGCAGTACCAGAATCAACAACACGGGTAGTTGCACTTGAAAGGACGAAAACAGTGAAGCAGGCATGTTGACCAAGAGCAGCTTACTCTTAGCGTCTATATATTAGTAATTAGTAAAATTAGTAAATTGGTAGTAAGTGTAGTAAAATATGTTTGTTTATTTTTACTTGGTTATAATTATTGTCCCAAATAGTATCATAGAAACAAATTATTAATATGAAATTGATAAAGTAAATTATATAATTTGGACGGCGAAATGGTCCGCTTGTGTACTTGTATGAGTTTGTATTTTGAACCCTTTTACTTAACCATTTATCAACTGAACCCTTAAACTCAATGAAACTCAGCATTTTAAACCCCTTTGGCCTTGTGTGAACTTCAAACGCACAATAAAAATGACATGTCATCACCCACATCAGATTTTATATGACACGTCACTTATTATTTAATTTTTTAAAATAAATTATTTTTTTCTTCTATTTCACTCATCTTCATCTTCATATCACTTGACCAACACATGTAAAACCCTTTTCTCCATGGATGCCAATGAATCACCATTAAAGTATTTCAATATATTATAATATTTATACACAATTTTATCCAACAGACTTCATCTAATTTACATTCAACAGTTACTTTTATCCTTTCAAAACTACCGGATCTTTGTCACTTTACCCTAGAAAATGGAAAATAAAGATAAATCAAGAACAATAACAGATTTAAAGAAGGAGCACTAAAATTGCTAACAATTTTAACAACAAAAAGAGTTCAAAATACTCATTAGACATATTTCTTCCGTGGATTTGGGTATTGCACCAATTTTCTCGATTTTCCTTTGCTCATTTTGTTCTCATTTTTTGCACGATCTCGTTTCTAATTTGGGAAAGAGAAAATGAAAAAGGAAAAAGAGAAAAAGAACTGGAAAGGAGTGGAGGAAGGGAGAACGAAAGGAATGGGGGATTAGTCTAAATTTTTATTTTCACGCTCCTTTTTTGCGTGAAATCACGTACTTATGCCAACTCAACAATTAAGTTGCCACATAAGTTTGGTCAATGGTCAAAAGAGTTTAAGATGGTGAATTTTATTGAGTTAAAGGGTTCAGTTGACAAAGAGGTAAGTAGAAAGGTTCAGAATACAAACACATACAAGTACAAGGGTCAGAAAAACTATGTGGAAAGTACAACAAACTACTCTCTTTTCACATTTAATTAATTAATCTAAGATAACTTTTTATATATTACGTATTTATAAAAATAGTACTAACAAAAAAAGTGAAGTATTTAGTTGTTGTTTGAGAAGGTGATCATATGGAGAAGTCTTAGCAATAAAGTTTGCTGACCTTTGTGTCATAGCCAAAACTGTACAAAGTGCTTTTAGTCAGTCTAAAAAAGAATGACACATTTTTATTTTAAGTAACAATTTGCCTATAAAATGTCTTTTTACCCTTAATGAAATGATTTACAACCACACAAATTTCTATCATTCATTTTGGACCACAAGTTTTAAAAGTCTTTCCATTTTTCTTAAAATTTGTGCCAAATCAAAGTACATCATATAAAATGGGACGGAGGAAGTAGTAATTAGTAAAATTAGTAAATTGGGTAATAAGTGTAGTAAAATATGTTTGTTTATTTTTACTTGGTTATAATTAGTGTCCCAAATAGTATCATAGAAACAAATTATTAATATGAAATTGAAAAAGTAAATTATATAATTTGGACGGCGAAATGGTCCGATGAACCCTTGTGTACTTGTATGAGTTTGTATTTTGAACCCTCTTACTTAACCATTTACCAACTAAACCCTTAAACTCAATGAAACTCGACATTTTAAACCCCTTTGGCCTTGTGTGAACTTCAAACGCACAATAAAAATGACATGTCATCACCCACATCAGATTTTATATGACACGTCACTTATTATTTAATTTTTTAAAATAAATTATTTTTTTCTTCTATTTCACTCATCTTCATCTTCATATCACTTGACCAACACATGTAAAACCCTTTTCTCCATGGATGCCAATGAATCACCATTAAAGTATTTCAATATATTATAATATTTATACACAATTTTATCCAACAGACTTCATCTAATTTACATTCAACAGTTACTTTTATCCTTTCAAAACTACCGGATCTTTGTCACTTTACCCTAGAAAATGGAAAATAAAGATAAATCAAGAACAATAACAGATTTAAAGAAGGAGCACTAAAATTGCTAACAATTTTAACAACAAAAAGAGTTCAAAATACTCATTAGACATATTTCTTCCGTGGATTTGGGTATTGCACCAATTTTCTCGATTTTCCTTTGCTCATTTTGTTCTCATTTTTTGCACGATCTCGTTTCTAATTTGGGAAAGAGAAAATGAAAAAGGAAAAAGAGAAAAAGAACTGGAAAGGAGTGGAGGAAGGGAGAACGAAAGGAATGGGGGATTAGTCTAAATTTTTATTTTCACGCTCCTTTTTTGCGTGAAATCACGTACTTATGCCAACTCAACAATTAAGTTGCCACATAAGTTTGGTCAATGGTCAAAAGAGTTTAAGATGGTGAATTTTATTGAGTTAAAGGGTTCAGTTGACAAAGAGGTAAGTAGAAAGGTTCAGAATACAAACACATACAAGTACAAGGGTCAGAAAAACTATGTGGAAAGTACAACAAACTACTCTCTTTTCACATTTAATTAATTAATCTAAGATAACTTTTTATATATTACGTATTTATAAAAATAGTACTAACAAAAAAAGTGAAGTATTTAGTTGTTGTTTGAGAAGGTGATCATATGGAGAAGTCTTAGCAATAAAGTTTGCTGACCTTTGTGTCATAGCCAAAACTGTACAAAGTGGGTGAGGAACTGATGCATTTATGGAGAAATCCAAAAGTGAGCAAGCTTTGTATTTCCTGTAAGGTAGAAACATAACATTAAACATTTGTATTAGGGATTATGATAAAAACAAATGAAATTGTACTTACCTTTTCTGTACAGTACAGTATTCAAAAGTAGTTGCCAAAACGCTTGGATAAACTATAAAAATTGTTTTGAAAGAAAATGTTTGGTTAGTATGTGATATACTGTAAAATAAAGAAAGAAATAGTAGTTGAAGAAAGAATGAGGAGCAGAAAGGTGGTAATCACCCTCAGTTTGGTTTTTCTGGAGTTGGTGGCTCCAGTTTCTGCTTCATTTTGAGTGATGATGATTCAGCCTGTTCACTCACTTGTTCTGGTTCAACTGTTTGTTT